AGAAAAGCATCAGTGCTGTGTTTGGTCCTCTGTGCTGGGCCTGGACTCCCTGATTGCTCCGTGTCCCTTCTGAGCTGTCCTTTTACATACTCTTACCTTCCACTTCTACCTTCTTTTCCCCCCCCTCCTTGAGAACAAATGAAGTAATTAGAAGTTTTCTTCAGGCAGAGGGAGGAGCAGAGGCAAAGTATGTAATAAGTTTTGTCTAAACTGTTTTCCTTTGGTAATGCATGCCCTAAAGCTGTGTGCTTAGCTGGGTTCAGTGTAATTGTTCCTATCCTGCAAAGCCTTTCCGGACTGCCCGAAACAGAGAACCAGCACTCCCATCATGCCCCTTCCCTGGCTGTGCCTTGCTCCATAATAGCCTTTTTCCATAGCCAGTTATTTCTTCATTCTGAGTGAATGAAACTTGGAGTCTGATTCTGAAGATCCTGGGTTTAAACCTCTCTGGCAGCCTCAGTGGGTGAAAATAGTGTGTGATCATGTAATTAAACACACTGTAATAATGCAGATTCACAATTAACTGTGCACAAAGGAAGTTTACTCCAGCATTGCCTAGTTTTTACACTGACAAACTTTACCTTCCTTTGATACATTCTTTAAGAAGTTATCACAGGGAGGGTAATTATAGGATGCTATTTTAACTTGCATGTTCACTTTTGCCACGTTATGACCACTTTCCCTTAAAACACTGTTGCCCTGCCAGTTTGCTCTCAGCTACAGGAAGTTTTGTGTTTATCCACACACTGGAATATTTTAGTGCAAATCTTAAACTATTTAAAAGAACAAATGAAAATGTACAATTTTATGTGTAGCATTTACACCAGGGTTGGGTTTTTGCTGCCCTGCAAAAACCCACCCATTTGGCCCAGGCACACTCAGTGCTGCCTTTTCAGCTTGACCCTTTTCCAGGCATGTTCCTGCTTTTCAGAACAGGAGGTGAGACACTGCCTGTGCCCACAGTCTGAGCAGAGGAAAGGGGCAGGAAATGGGAATGGACAGCAGGGCCAGCAGGAGAAAGGACAGATCAAGAACAGGTGGGAAGAGGAGGACGAGAACAAAACGGGGGATGAGGAAGACAAGGAGCTGAGGGTTGAGGCAAGGAAGAGTGGTCTGGTGCTGAATTTGGACCTGGACATGAGGAACAGAAGCAGGGGATGGAATATGGGCAGGAGAAACCCAAGACTGGCAGGAGCAAGGATGAAGAGCTTGGAATCAGAAAGTCTCTGCTAGGGCAGGAGGCCGAGGGGTGCAGAGAACCAGAGAAGAGACACTTTTGTCATGAAAACCAGCTGTGGGATGGGAGGCCTGGACAAGAAGGATTGGAATTGCTGAAGTGAGCAAAATCAGCCTGATTCTTATCAGACTGATAAGAGAAAGAGGGGTCGAAAGGGATGGAGGTCACAAACTCAGAAACGGCAGAGAAATCTGTCCCCCGGAAAACATTTTGCCCTTAACTGGGACTTTAAATGTGATTGTTTCTCTGTGGTCAGCAAATATCTGTGAAAATGTCTGATCATTCTGTGATGCTGGTGTTCAGAAAGGATCACAGCCTATTCATGCTATCACTACCTTAGTTCAAGGGATGACAATGTCCCCATTGGTGCCTAAAATAAAGGCCTGGTTTTTAACCTGTGGGTGTCTGTATAATGCCATGCAAAGAATTTCCAGTTTGTTTGTGGTTTAAAACTTAGAATATTTTTTTAACGGTGCTAAAATATTTGTTAGTGTTAATATTTTCAGCCCTGTATTTGTTTTTAATCTGCACACAGAAAATGTAAGGAATGATATTTTGAAAAACCTATTCAGGCTTTATTCAGAAGTAGCGTGTGTGTGTCCAATGATTCAGATCTTAATGGCAGGATAATATTCAGTTGTTTTCAAAGGACTCTTGAGTTGTTTATTGTTCAGAATGTGTCTGATGTGAGGATGAATGTGGTATGTGCAGTGCAATATGCTTCCTGGAGAACCAGCAATTTGTTATAATGCTTGAAAATTGGGATTGTAGAGAGGGCAAGGATTGCAGGAGGGATGGGCTTGTAATTAAGACAATTGAAGGATATCATGGAAGGTGTGATGTGTCTCTGCCAATACCACTGAGCTTCTGTGTGATCACGTTGCTTCAACCTGCCATTTTTATTTCTGTACTCTTATTTTGTGTCTCCCACTTTCTGATTGCCTGATTTGGAGTTCTTGAAGAAGTACTAAGCACTCGCAGCTGCAAATGAAATTAGCATTTTATCATGTGAAATGCTGTAAAATGCTAAACATTCTGGAAAAGCAAGTCCTAAATGCCTCAGATTGTGTTTCTGAAATTAGCAGGTACCTTTGGCCATGTGTTTTATGTGCCTCAATTCCATCTCTAAAATGGAGGTAACTTTTCTGCCTTCTCTCACAAGAATATTAGGAAAATAATACGGTTGGTATTTGTGAAGCATTCAAGTGCTATATACTGACATGTGCTATTGAAAAGCCATTCTGTCTTCAGAACAAGGTTTGAATAGTGTACAATAAATATGTCAGGAAAGTTCAGAGTAAACAGTGACAAGAAAATAAAATACTGAATAGCCAGTCACTAAATGAGCAGTGTGCATCCTCTTCAGTGAATAAGATGGGGGAAGAAGACTATATGCCTGTATAATGAAATACTGTATCATAGCAAATCTACCTCTAAAAGCCTGATTCAGTTCCAAGATCCAATCTGAGGGTCTTGAATTTTTTACTTTTTCTACCTGTAAGTCTTTGGAAATTTATAAATATTCTTCCATCTATTTTCTGTTTATAATATGTGTTAGCAAATGAACCAAATGACTGTGTAAATATAAAAAATTTCTTTTCTTTTGACCACACTTTTAAGTCAGGCCAACGTGGCAGGGTTTACAGGTGTTCCCTGTCTGTGATATTGGTCAGTCCCTGTGTAAGATGAGTTTGCTGAGTCTCGGTTCTGTTTGCTCTTCATCACCTTGCTCTGAATCCATTTGGCAGACTTGGCAAAAGGGTCAGTAGTTGCAGGAGGAGGACAGCATTACTACATGTTCCCTAGAGGAAGCTGCCTCCTGGTGAGGGCAGAGAGATGCTTGCAGTGAGTGGGAGAAGGCTGGATTAGTTCACTTATCTCTCCACCTCCCACATACCCTGTACCCTGCTAGCAGAGCACTGTACACTTTTTTTTGAAAGAAAATGTGATTGAAAGATCTGCCAAGTGCTCCCCTGTACTTCCCAGCTTCTCCTCCTCCTTCGTTTTCAGTGGTTCCAGCCCCCCTCATACAATCCAAGTCGTACTTTGGCTCCTCCCAGGAATCGTTTTTCTCAGCGGCCAAACGAGACAGGCTCGTGCCCTGGTTTGTGTTGTGCTGATGCAGAGATGAGGCATCCTGGACTACAGTTCACATCCACAGCCGTGCTTAACCTTCCTCGCAATAGGGAGAGGACTCTGAGTGAAGGATACTGTACCACAGCTCTGATTTAACTCCCTGAAATGTCACACTCACTCTGTGGTGTATCTGGGGAGTGGGCTTTGGTATGCAAATTGTGCTTCATAGGCAAAATGCTGTAAATAAATACACACATTTCTCCTGTTTCAGCACTGAGATATGTCATCTCACCCTGGACACAGGCTTTCCCGCTTCTCACACGTTACTTTATGCATTTCCTTCCCTTGGAGAAGAGAACAACCCAGCACACATTCTTTTCCCAGTGCTGCCCACAACCAGGAGTGGTAGGAAGCACTTGAGAGCATCTCTCAAGTTATGCCTAATTGAACAGGCTCAAAGCCAGCAATGAATTGAGCAGCTCAGCTCATTGTAAATACAAAGATTTCTTATGCTTTTTAACTGAATTCTTATCATCCAAAAGTTTCAAAGGTATTGAATGAAAGGCAGCTGTGTTTATGTGTTGTGATAAAACCAAAACTGTGGCAAAAGCTGAGAATAAGGATAGTCCACACAGCCATTGCTGTTCTCCTGTTCCCTTCAGAAGCCTGTGCATTTTAAAAGAACCCCACAGTTTAGCCTTTGCCTACTAAATCTTTCAAGAAATATGCTCCTTCCATGATACCAGTTTCATAAATTATTGCACTGTGCAGAAGATGCTCAGCTGTCTCATCTGACTGGCTTTCAGTGCCTCGCTGTGTCCAAAAGTGAGACAATAATTAACTAAGTAAAGCCTCAGCTTTACATTCATTTTCACCTTACTTTACGAAAGCTAAATGGTAATTTCATGTCTTTTACGTATCTCCAGTGTAAAAGATCCTCGGAGAGAGGGTAGAAATATTTTTGTCATAGTTGAAAAATAAGGTTTATTATGCAAGGACCATGTGCTTGTGGACAACCATGTCCCTGTTTCCCCATCTGTAAACTGGATGTAATGTTCCTACAACCCACTAGGGAGGGCAGGCTTTGATTAACATGTATGATTGCCCTGTACATATGCAACTCTATCACTGCTTGTTTTTATTAGCAACTAGCAGTAGAATATGAAGAAGAAGCATCCAGCAGAATAATGCTGCAGCCAGGGTGAGCCCTCTCCATCTTTTGACCATCACATAATTTATTTTCAGGCTCTGCCACAAAGTGTGCATGTTTGAAATAAAACTACGCTTATATTGTAGCTGTGGAAATCAAATTATTTGATGTAGAGGTTGACAAACAGGCAAAACACTTGTTTTTAAAGGAAAAATGCCCATAGATATGATTAAATATCTTGAGCAAATTTTTGTTTTGTTTAGAAAATTTTCATACAGAAAAAAAATCTATTCCAGTGCACCAGAATCCAACGTATTGAAAACATACAAAACTGTTTCCAGGTCAGCCTAAAAGAATGTCTGGGAAGTGTCTTTATTTGTGTGAGTAAACACCGATCAGTCAGGAAAAAGACTGCATTTTGAGATAAGCCATGAAAAATGAATCCTACTGCATTTATTTATTATTTTTTTTTTCTCTCCCTGTTTTTTTCCTCTCTCTCTCTCTCTCCCTCTCCCTCCTGAAAATCTCCTGCCACAGCGGCTGCATTTGCCTCCAGACTTGTCAGACACAGTGAGCCGCGCGAGCAAACAGGAGCTGGCAGGATCCGCCAAACTGCTGAGCTCAGGATGTGCTGCCATGGCCATCGGCAAGAGGCACCTGGACTTCTAGTGATTCCTCCTTAGCAGTTCCACTCAGATTTATATGACACTCTCATTATGAGTGTTAATGACTTATATAAATATTTTTCTTAATGATTTGACCCAGCACACAGTCTTTAAAAATACATGTTGGCATACAATGCCTTCTTTTTTTTTCTTTTATTTTCTTTTTTTTTTTTTTTTTGTCTATGCTGGTTTCTTTGTACTGATTTTGGTCTTGTTTGGGTTTTGCTTTTCGGTGAAGCTGCTGTTATGTTGGGTCCTGCCATTGTTCTGCTCCACTGGAAACATACAGTATTTTGTTCCTTTCCTTCAAATATGAAAATTACTGTTCCCATTTTCATTTCTGTATTTTTTTTCACTAAAAAAAATGAAGGGATGTTTTTCCCAATAGATTTTTTTTATATAGTTACATTTAATATTTTGTATGAATAATGAGTTGGATGGTTTATTGCAATAAAGGAATGAAACTAAGCAGTTCATTGTCACGTGTTATTCGAAAAGCAAACCAGACAGTTTTAAAAACATTCATTTTTGTAATCTGAAATACCATTCTCAAATTTCAGGAAATCTTTACATTAGTTTATTAAATATGTAATAATAAATTTAAAATACATGAGATAGTTTTTATTCTTATATGCCAGTAATTAAGAATGGTTGTTTTTTAAATCAGATTATATTACAGATAATTACTTTTCCTGATGGTTTACTACATGCATTAAAAGACACTTGAATGGAATTTACTAACCAGAGAGGAAAGAACTGATTTCCTTATGTAGTTCAAAACAGTAATCCTAAACAATTGAAGTCAGCACTATGAAATTATGTCAACAGACATAATTCAAGATTGAAATTCAACCCGACAGCTACATTAATGCTAGGAAACCAGAAGAGTGCATTTGAGCTCGGGGAAGGATATCACAGCATGCTGGTCTGAAGCAGGGCAGAATGTACAAGTAATTCAGGCTTCTCTACCCTCAGATATACAATTTGTGAACTTCTAACTATTCTGTATGTATCTCTGTGTGTCTCCCATCACACAAAGGAACAGTACAGCAAAGCTGACCTGTGAATTAAAGTGGTTTGCATTCTTTCTTCTGGGGCTGACTTCCATTTTGAAAGGTAATATCTTCTTCTCTGCAGAACTTCCAAGCCACCCAGCTGTAAGATTGCATTACAGTTTCAAAATTTAGTCTTTATAATAGTGTATTACATGGCTGGAGTGAAATTGAGTCTTCAAAGAACGTGTTAATAGGATGCAATAATGGTAACATATTTTGATGGGTTTGGAACCAAGAGTTGGGGAAGTGGTTTGCTTTTTTTTTTTTCCCCTGCAATCCAGGTTCTACTTTATTTTTTTTCTCGACAACGCTGTGTAAAACAAAGACATAGCTTTTAAAACTGTCTAACTAATATGATGAATGTCAATCACTTAAAAAACTCCACTGTAGCATAAACACATACTGTATACAGCTTTTATTCTGAATTAGAATAATTGAATCAATGACAGTGATTTGCCAGGATGTCAAATCTATCCATCATATCCTGTCACTACCAGTTTATTTTTTGTGATCAAAATCAAAAAGACTACTATTTTGTCATCAACTATTTCATTAGTAGTAACAATCAGGTTTTCTCTTCTATATTTTTTAGATATGCCTGTTATATTTTTTATTTCTAAAGACACAAATCCTTTTTAAATCTTTTCAAAATAAAGTTTCAGACCTGAACTGTCAGTTTAATGAAGAAAAAAAGACATCTACTTTCCTATGCAAACATATTTAAAATATTATCATCGATGTCTCAAACAGTTTTTCTCTTTTTGTGTTATATGTAGCACTGAATGGAAGTTCTCATTAGATACTTAATTGTGCCTTTTGAAAGCATGAAATAATTTAAACACTTAGGATAAAGTGATTTTTAACAAAGGTGAAGTTTTACATAGTACATCTTTTTAATGTAAATAACACGAAACATGGTGTTTCTTTGTGGAATATAAAGCCACAAGACATATAAATTGCTGACAACATACTTAAATAGGTCGTTCACTTAACACACAGGGGAGAAAATACCATAAAAGTCTCACTCCATGCCTAGTTAATGTATTAACTGAAAATTGTTAGCAGGCAGCACATGTATCCCATGTATGTACATGTCTATATGTGTGTCTCGTGCATCTATAAAACTTCAGTTTCCAAAACTTCAGTAGGTTGATATTAAAGCTGACAAATATTTTGAGCAATAAAAGGAACTCCTCCTGCAAATCTGCATTAGCGTGGTGGGTTTTCTTCTGAGCCACTAAACATGCTTTGTAAAATAAGTGTTAGAGAATAGAGATGTACAGGGTTGTTCACCCAAGGCAAAGACGTGGAGCAAAATCCTCTTCTTTCCTTCCAAAATATCAGTTGCAGCAGCACGTGACAGTGACTTGGCTGCTCCAGTGAACTGATGGGTGAAACAGTGCTATGAAGGTGCTACCTGAGAGGATGTAGGTGCAGTGTAGATAAAGTGTAGGTTCCAGTTTTGCCCCAGAAGCTGCAGCAGCTCTGGGGTGGTGATTTCCTGGGCCTTTTCCCCAGAGCTGCTCTGTGACCGTCGGGCTCCTGTGCACAAAACACCCTTCAGTTCTTTCTTCTCTTGATCTGAAGACAAATATTTGACTAAGGGGTGCAGCCCAGGTAATCGAGGGATGGGCACAGCCTCTTTCCCCAGGCTGTTGCAATGTGCTACCAGCTTCTTTTGGCACATCCTTGCTGGCGTGGGTGGAAAGTCTGTGCCTTCCTCACTTTGCTCAGGGGGCTCCTTTCCAGAGATTGTGGTATGAGGTTTTCTTGTTTATTGCAATTTTTTGAGCAGAACCTCCCAGTTTTTTAGCAGGCTACGAACTGAAACCACCAAACTCAGCAGGGAAACAATAGATTCATCCCAGTGAAGACGTTCCCAGTTCAGCCCAAGAGCCTGATCTTTGCAGAATTGTGACACACAGTCAGGAAAGCAGTAATGAAATTTAAAACATTTTGCCTTTAATACGTCAGATAAGAATTCTTTATATAATTTCTGTTGTGCTGAGATTTCCAAAATGTAAGTATTTGGAACATGAGAAGAATGTTTATCATAGGTAAATCTTTTTCTCTGTTTGTAAAGACATTTCAAAAGCAATTTCAAGGGTGCAGTTGAATTCAATTTTCTGTAACAGTAGCTACAGGCATCTGGAAATGGACATTCAGCTACTTCAGATTTGAAACCTATGGTAGTATGCAACTGGTTTAATCTTTAAATTTAATATTAAATAGTGATGTTGTTCCAAGCACAGCTTTTGGAAAAATGCAAAAGTCTAACTTACAAAAATCCTTTACTATGCCAACATTGGAAAGTGAGCAATTATCCAAGTTTTTCTGAAACCACAAGGTGTATTACACGTACTAAACTCAAACCCACACAGGCACACATATTAAACCAGTATTTCTCCAGGATTATATATTAGAAATTTAGCAAAGTGTTCTTCTTTTGCCTGTGCTGGAGAAACATCTTAACTACAGAGCACAGCAGAAATAGGAAAGAAGATGCTTTTATGCCTTTAAGAGGTTCTGGAAGCAAGTACTATTCCCCATGACATCTCCTGGGGGTTTTATTTTCTCTTGTGAGCTACCTGAGTGCAAGGCCTACATTTCTTTTTTTAATCACACTGAGCACATGATGGTGGTTATTTAATAATAAATGTACCTCTGTAGAAAAAAAAAGAATGAAAGTGAATCTTCATCTTACCCAAAAAAAGGCAGCTCAGATGGAGGGAAAGAAAAAGAAAATAAAAATTTCTCTACTTTTTTTTTCAGCTTCTAGTCTGATATAAGCAAATGTTGGGCTCTTCTTTGTTTTCCTCAAAAAATGGAATCTGATGAAAACTTGGCTGCTAATTCAAACTCTGCCTTTAAACAATTTTGAAAGATATTAGGGACATCAAACTGATTTGCAGACCCCCAGTTCAATGGGAGCATTGAGTTTTCAACATTTTATTGCATACAGATTTTCTGGGCCTGTGCAGTTTAGTCTAAAAAGTCTTCCAGGGAAATCAGTGATGGTTTAGATCAGAAGCCACTTGGTAGGGTAAGGGCCAGAGGATTTTTTTTTTTTACAATTTAGCAAATCTAGAGAATTTGTAGCTGCATATTCCCCTGTATTTAAAAAATAAATAAATAAATAAAAATTGTATTTTAATGTGTTCTGACATTGAAGATATATGTAAAGTCCAAAATAGGGCAAGAATTTTTTTTAGAAAAGTTTTTATGCTGGCAGAGTTTGAATGTTGATGCCCTCAGAATGTTCTCAGCACTTAACACCATCTGAAGTATTCTCTTAAAAATCTTGAAACAGGTGAAATTTGGTACACTTTCAGATGCTTCAGTTGGAGGCAGGTTGGAGCAAATGCACTAGAGAAAGCTCTTGCTGAAATTTCATCAAGCTGGACTTACAGAAGAACAGAAAGAATGAATGGATTGGGTTTAGATATGAAATCAAGCAGTTCTCAGTGCCAGCATTTTAAGAAAGCATATTGTGTGGAGAAAGAGCTGTCAACTCGTTTAAGATATGTTGCTTGAGTGAAACTTTTCTGCAGTTCTTAGTATGGGTTTATTTATGTTAGCAAAGTATCTCAGAGCTACTGCTCATAGACAAGGGCTGTTTGGGCAGGGCTTCATTCTTGGCCTGGGACTCCAAAACAAATTTGCCTTCCTGGCCTGTTTTAAATCAGTAGGATGAGGATTGTTCTTGCAGGACTTGATGCCATTTCTAGCTCCACTGTTTCCAGCTAGCAGCCATAGCTGGAAGCTGCAGCTGCAGCACTTGATTCCTGACCAGGCAAGTTTTAGTGTGTCCAGTCCCTCTCTGGGCTCATTCAGCATCTCTATGGATCCAGCAGATGCACTGGTTGGACAACAAATGTACCTCTGCTATCCATCGTGTATAATGAAACTGCTGCCACCAGCATGGCCTTGTGCTTGGAAAAGGTAAACTAATGCCAGAATCACAGGATGGGTCGGGTTGGAAGGGACCACAGTGGGTCCAGTGGTCCAGCCCCCCTGCTCAAGCAGGGTCACCCCAGAGCACACGGCACAGGATTGCATCCAAATGGTTCTTTAATATCTCCAGCGAGGGAGACTCCACAACCTCTCTGGGCAACCTGTTCCAGTGCATGGCCAGCTGCACAGGAAAGATGTTCTTCCTCATGTCCAGGTGGAACTTCCTGGGCATCAGTTTCTGCTTGTTGCCTCTTTTCCTGTTGCTTGGCACCACTGAGCAGAGCCTGGTCCATCCTCTGACACCCTCCCTTCAGATGCTGACAGACATTGATGAGGTCCCTCCTCAGTCATCTCTTCTCGAGGCTGAACAGGCCCAGCTCCTTCAGTCCATTCTCATAGGAGAGATGCTCCAGTCCCTTAATCTTCATTGCCCTCCACTGGACCCACTCCAGGACTTCCATATCTCTCATTGTACTGAGGAGCCCAGAACTGGACACAGCACTAATGAATAAAACTGAATTCAGTCAAGACCAGATAGGGAGTGACAGACAAAGAAAAATGGAAGAATTGGAAGAATTCCCCAGCATGGTGAAATTCCCATTTATGGTGTTTCCTAGCCTATGTCCAGGATAGCTCAGCAATTTTGGAAAATTACTTGAGTGGGAAGGAATTTGACAGCACACTCGTGGAGACAGTGGAGTAGCAAGTCCATCTGTGTGAGATACTGTGTGGGAGTCTTCCCAGGAGCCACCTCAAAAAAAGGGGATTCATCCAAACTAGCAGAGGTTCACAGACAAGGAGCTTCAAACATTATCATTGCACCAGCTTCAGACAAACAAATAGAACTTGTCACAGCAAAGCACAGGGAAAGAGGATGGAAGCACAAGCAGTATGGAGGCAGCCACAGTTACCTGTGTACAAGCAGGAGAGTACAGCAGGCAGGCACAGTAAAAGAAGCAAGACAGCTGAATGAGGGGCTTGTTTTGCAGCCCTTGACTGTAGAAGACTCTATGAAGTTTTAAATATATCCTTTCCCAAACAGGTGTAAATCAACAACAGTTCACACAGAGCAATCGAATCGTAACTCAGGAAATCATCAGACCCAGCAAAAACTTAGTTTAAATAGGAATCTAAGGGTTCAAATATGTATTTTGCAAAGTAACAGTGTTGACTTAAATTCAGAGAAATCAGAGTGGACAACTTGCTTCTTTAAAAGCAAAAAAACTATAAAATTTAAATGATGGGGTTTTTACTTAATCCAGTCTGACAGGGGGAGTTTTAAAAATAAATAAACCCTCCCCTGCAGTATTTGAAACACAAGGCTGCAGAATACAGACCAAGTATGAGTTCAACTTTGATGAGTCAATCTAAAGGGTGAAAACATAAAGGGTAAAGAAAGTTACAAAGAGAAATATAACTTTTCTTTGCCTATGATAACATATTTATTGTAACAACCTGAAGGTGTTTATCTACTCTATGCAGTTCCATGTAACTCAGAGTCCTTCTGTTCCCCTGTATGTAATTTCTATGGAATAACTGTTCATAAACTTCTCAAAATCCATTGGCATAGGCCTGACCTGAAGGAGGTTATCTGTGAATCTGCAAACTTCTCTGGTGCAGCTGGAAAAGCTCGTATGTCCCAGGAGAGGAAGAACTGCAATTTGCAACCCTCCCCAATTTTAGCTGCCAGAGTGTACGTGAGGTCTGTCAGGTGCCTGGAGGCAATTGCAACCTCTGCTGGAGGATTTCATGCAACTTACAGCTCCTGTCAGGGACCTGAAGGTAACAAGAATCCTCCTGGGTCACTCACAAAACCTCTGCTCGCCATCTGACCCACCTGCAATTCGACTTTGGAGGTGAGGCTCCAGCACCTGAGAAACCACAGACCTCTACCAGCCCAGCAAAAGCAGTATCATGGTGTTTTGTGGGGGCAGAGCAGCAGCAGCACACAGCCCACCAGCATCACAGACACCTTTTCACCTTCACCACCTTCAAAATCACAATCCTTTCACTAGGGATAGTACCAAGAAGGGGAAAGGGAATAGCACAGAAGGCCCTGAAATACAGTCATCAGAGGTTCATAGTGAAATTTAGAGGAAAGCAGGTTTCCTGGAGACTTTTCTCCAAAGGGCCACCTTCCAAAGAAACAACAGGGGTTGTGGCAGCTGGAGGATTCATGAAAATCTACAACACATCAGCTGTACATATTAACAGACTGATCATTTCTTTGAGGTTTCATTTCTGCAGAC